ATTGGCATCGCTGGCGGTACCTGGTCCCCAGATCCACGAGTCGGCCTCGCACTCGTCAGTGAGGCTGGAACGAACGCACCTGATTTTATCGAGGGATGGCTTCTCCGGAGAGCTTGTGACAACTAGGCCTATGGCTTTATAACCATCTGAGGCTGTGGGTAACCAGACATAGCCATTGCCATCTTTCTTGATGTTCAAGAACTCGCTGCTCCAAATGAGAGTGAAATCAACTGGTTGCCGCAGCAAGGGCGAAGAAGGGTCATCCTCGTTGTCTTTTGTTGGTTTAGCAGCAAGGGCCCATCCGTAAAGGGGTATGTTGTTGGGTTGGCTGTAGCAGCCAAGCATGTAGAATCCGTGGGGTAGGGGTGAAGGTTCGAAGAAGCTTGCCCCAAGGTTGCCTGGTCCCCCCTCATGAGTAGCCCAAACTTTGTTAAAAGACGATATCTGACACACTAGTAATCCTCCCAGATCGATCATTCCACTTGCGAACCCATCACCTAATAAAATATGATCCATATATCATGTTCATGTACACCGGTAAATATAGATTAATTGGCATTACAACTGGAAAGTATATTATATAAAACTCAGAAATTACAACAACAAAGTCTTGAGGTATATATAATGCGTAGGCGTGTGTGTGTGTGTGTGTGTGTGTGTATAGAGATATAATATATATGGTTCAAGCTTTAACTGGTTATTAAGTTTATACTGCAAATACATTTGAAGAGAGGACCGATTGCAAATCCTCATTGCAACACATATCAGAACTGTCTAAATAGCTAGAAAGATGAACAAGTACGTACCAGGAGGCCAGCTAGGTAATGGAGAGGGAAGCTTGAACGTGGTTTCGATAGGCAAGGCTTTGGTTTTCTTGAAAACACTCGTTGCTGAAGGTGATAGGGAAAGGCAATTTCCCATTGTTGATGTCTTAAAAGAAATTAAGATTAAATGTCTATAAACAAATTAATGATATAGATAATCTTCATGGGATGGAAGTTTGAAGCACAATAAGTTCAGCAGACGGAACCAGAAGCATATTCTGTTTCAATTGAAGGGGGAATGTAAAAATGATGCAAAGAAGAATGGGGATAAAAGGGCCGGCCCTTCCCTTGGATGTAACGTGCAAGCAAGCCAATTTTGGCCACATAAATGCTTCTAAACATCGTTCAACTTGTCTTGTACACCCAAAGTTGCTTTCTCAGGGGAAAACTATTGTCGTGTACTCTCCAACTTCTCATCTCCGTTGGCATTAAAAATGGTCATCCCAACCCTACCACAAATAATGATGATACTCAAGGGATACGATCAACTCATTGTAATTTTGGATGGAAGAATTTATTATTATATTTTTTTTCTTAAAAGGGGACTAACTGGTGACTTCAGTACGTCAGTCCATCCTTTTAGGGGCTGAGAAGACTTGCAGAGAAATTTTAGTCTCTCTCACCATCATGTGATTCATCATAATCAGAAATCAAACTCAGAATGTGTTGTGTGAAATATAAGCCCGAAATTCGTCACTATTTGGACATACAAAGATGCCGTTTGATAACCATATCCTTTTAAGTTTTTTTTTTTTTTTCATTTTTTTTAAATTGAAAATATTTTTGGTAACTAATTTCTGTTAAAAAAATGAAAACTACTCTTTTAGAGTGCGCAAAATTTGGATTTCAATTTTCAGCTTTCATTTTCTTTTATAAAAACCCCAAAACTAGTTACCAAAAAAATTTCATTTAAATAAAAAATAAAAAAGTTATCAAGGGGCTGCAAAATTATGTTAAGAATAAATCTCACATTAAAGAAATGAGAGATCTTGCATGTGCTTATAAGTAGTTTGACATTACCTTTATTGCCAATTAATTTTATGATGGACTAACTTCTTCAACTTATACACTTTCTAATATAAGCTTTTAAGGGAATGGATCCCTATTTTTTTTTTTTTTTTATAAAGGAATGGAGATTAATTTGTGGGGGCCTATACCACATCAAACTTTAACGATCTAAACTGTCTATTTTTTAAGATGTAACTCATAGATCATCCTTGCAAAATTTTAGCCAAATCAGAAATATTTGAAGCATTTAATTGAGTTCAAAGAAATTTATGAACACTTTGCTCTCTAAGAAATTGAAATTTCATCGTGATAATTAAATAGGCAAATGGTTACAGATTGAATTAATTTTTTGCAAAAAAATCTATGAATCGAGTCTTACAAAATAGATGGTTCGGATCGTTGAGGTTCGATGTTGAGTGAGTCTCGCAAATAATTCTCATTTTTTTAGAAAAATGGGAATCTCTTCCCTTATAAAGTCTGCTTTCTTTTCTAATTTAAGCGGATGAATAACATTAGTGATTTGTATTGGTCAACAAGAAAGATGATAAATTTAATTATTCATGCATGTTCGTATTTTTTTGAATTTAAGCTATATTTATGCTCCAATTTAATGGGTTTTTCTTGAATGTCCCAAATTTCTGTGCTTTTCTTGGAAATTTAGAAATCTACCTTCTTTGTATTTAAATTGAAGCATAGATTAGATTTGTGATGTCATAAAAAACGCCTAATTTTGTAAAGGGATTTTTTGATATGGGTTCAAAATAACTAAAAATTGGACCTATTTCAAAAGGTGGCCTATAAAATTGGACCTATTTCAAATTTTCCCTTTTGTAAACTACATTGTGATTTCAATTGGATGGTTTGTTAAGATTGGCTGGCTCGATTTTTGATTGAATTTTCCACTTGTTTGAGCTTGAGCTCATGAAACAGTTCAGAATGGTTGCATCGGGCTGGCTGGAGATGGCCAGCCCGCTGGGCTGATTTGGAGGTTTTGGCCTGGTGGGGTCCACAAGCCCTTTGGCCTAACCCTCGGTTGGAGACGGTTTTCGTGTCATTTCGAGTTAATTTTGGCCCTATGACCCTCTGGCCAAATTGGTTGGAGATGGCCTTAGCTTTGCTCTTTTGACACAAACATTGCACACCCTTAGAGAAATTATCAGATGGTAGACAAGTAATAGTGCCACCAATAGAAAATTTGACTTCTATTCCCACCCCAAAACACTCCAACAGTTGGCCCAAAATTGAGTTATGTATTAAAACTAAAAAATAGGGCCAATTCCGGCCAAGATTGGAGTTTGGGTTAGTGGACTGGCTAACTACGAAGACATTTCATGTGCGGCAATTCCGCCAAGATCTTTTCTTTAGTTGGAGGAAGCATTCGCACGAATCGGGCAGCGTTTAGCGACTTCTTTATCTTAATCTAAACCTTGGGCGCATCTTGACCAACCAATTTCAAACAAGAGGTCTAGGCTTGGGCCACTATTTCGTTGAAATGTTCTATACATCTGCCTTTTCTCCAGGCATTTCTTTAGACAATGACTCTGTTTGTTCCTATTTTCAAATAGTAAATATTTCTCAAAACATGGAATGGGAATCAAACCCATGCTTGAATTGAGTTTTCTTTTTCAAATCGTGCTATAGCTACACAAGCCCTACCAGGTGCCATAAATTACCTACGGATAGGAAGAATCCTAGAACAAAATGAGAATTAGCTAACCAACTTCTAAGAGAAACAGAATAGGGATTGATCCACTTAAGATAAGATCAATATATAGAGTATATTAAATTGGGGGTCGTATAGGCTCTTCTGAGGGGATGCCACCAGCCCTGGATCTCTTATGGGCTCTAAAGTAGATGTAGCATCAATTCCTCTCTTACTCACGATGTGCAAAGAACTCATGCACCTTACTTCATGAATGGGCAGTCCGAGAGGAAACGAAAGCGATTCGCTTATGAATCTCCTATTGAAGAATTATACTATGATCGCATGTTGTTCTCATGAAGCTAAGATCATTTGCTTGGTGAATGAAGCAGGTCAACCTCTTTTTGGCTTCGGCCCCAAAAACTTTTTATCGCTGGTCAAGCTTTCTACAAATTTGAAGAATTGGCCTTGGTTGTACCTCAATTACCCTAGTGCCCAAAGAATCATCTTACAATAGTGCAATTTAGACCCATTAGTTGCACCTTTTAACAAATATATACCAAGCCAGTGGTGAATCGTCTGAGGCCTTTGATGAAGAAGTTAATCAGCCTCCATTAGGTAGGCATATATGTGAGAATATTCTTATTGCTCAAGAGATTTTTCGATACCAAAAGGTCTATCCAGGACGCATCTCCCTAATTGCATCTCTACACAAGAGTTGGTCGAGCCTTTATTCAACTCATCAATTTCATTGGCTAGTGTAGCGTTGCTCCAACCTAATACTCATTTAGGATGTTCACCGCCCATCCCTTCCCTCTTTCGGTTGGGGAGAATGCTCTTGCCTCCTCTTTTTCTAGTTGGTCCCATGAATTCATTCGCTTTTAGTGAATAAGATCGATTCTTACGATCAGAGATTCCACCAGGGATGATACCACAACTTTTAAACCAAATTTGTAAATCAAAAGATGTGGTGGTTGATGATTGGATTATTAAAGTGTTGATTAACGTGCTTATTTCTTATTAGTGACATATCAGTTGGTTTGCAAATTTAGTTTAAAAATTTAGTCTTCATAGCATTATCCTTTTACAAATGGATAAATTTGTACTTAGAAAATTGGGTGTGAAGATAAAGACATTATGATGAGAGAGGAAATTATAGCTCAAAACGCACAACTATGGTTATTTTCGTTAACTTTGTCAGAATTCAGTCAAAATGAATAATGTTAAAAGAATCATTGCTACAATCGGGTTAAAGTTGATGAGACTATTTCTCCAATTTGGTTAAAGTTGAGGAACAATTTCTACAACTTTTTCATTTAGTTTCTCATATTTGCCTATTGATTCAGCCTTATGTGCATGACACATGACTCATTTGACAAAAATTTTAATGGAGTTGACGAAAATGACTATAGTTACACGTTTGAATTATTTAAATGACCAATAACCATGAATTTTTAATCAAGAAATGAAAGTTGAGAGAAAGTATAGAAAAGTCAACAGCTAGAACCAATGAGTTTTCACGGGATACATATCCGTCAAATTGTGTGCAGTGCTTCGATTAGTGGTTTGGGATGGCATCAAAATCAAATCCAAAAGTAGAGAATATGAAGAGTTTTTACAGGCAAAGGAAAAGCACTAGCATTGGTGGTACCTCTAAGAAGAAAAAATCCCATTCGGCCGCTCACCCAAAAGCTACTGCGGCCTTTTTCGGCTCAGGTGTAATTTCACACGGCTCTCTGGACCTCAAAGGTCCGTCTATCCTCTTGCTTTCAATTTTTTCATAGATTATATTCTTGTTGTGTGAATATTTGTTATGGTTTTCACTACCCATTTCCTTGTTCATGTATTGTATCCACTCCGTTGCCAAATTCCTTCTAATCTTCCGTTGTTGGGCGTCCCAACCATTTTTGCAATAAAAAAAAATTTAGTGGACTTGGATTATCATTAAAATTTATAGATCCAAAAAGTATACATTCGTTGGTTTGATTTACATGTTATTCCGTGTTTAAGTTAGTATTGAAACCCCTAATTTCCATTTTAACGAGATCTTTGTAGTTGCATGAAATTCCAGTATTTTCTGTCCTCAGATGCAAACTCGCATCAACTGTTTTTGTGGTTGTTCATGTTGAAGTTGTAAATGGATTTGAAGAAAATTAGATGAAGTGGTGATTGGAAGGGATAACTTTCCTTAATGATTAGGTTCTATTACTTCTTTCAACTGTATTTATTTCTAGGCACCAAATATGGGCGTAACTTTTTTTTTTTTTTTTTCCCTAGATATTGGGTAGATTTAAGGTATTTAAACATCCAAAATAGAGTAAAGAATGTGTAAAACTTTAGAGTTTGGACTTGTTTCCATTATTTACCTCAAGGGGGCACCGATATAGGCACTAGTAGATAATGAATCTTACATAGCTAAAAAATTTAAAGGGAGTTGGACTAAGATCGATATCTAATGGCATCTTAAACTTTTGTATTAGGATCCAACTGCCCCTGACTTTTAACCCTTGGAGTTTTGAAACTTCAAAGTAGCTCAGATATTGGAGTCCTCATTGTTTCTTATAAGAACATAGAAGGTCAAGTTTCAATTTATTGTTTGGAACTAATACATACCCTAAACCCTAATTTATCATTGTTTTACAATAGTCTGTTTTTCTATGCATTCTTAAATTTCTCTACTGTGGAATCAAGGGTTAAGGAAACCAATAATGTACATGTGTCCAAATATTATTGGTGTAAAATTTTTGGTACGGGGACCCTAGGTACAGAAGATTTGAGGTTATATTTTTTGTGAAACCAGTTTAATTTTTTTAATTTTTATTTGAAAGAAAAACAGTATAGAAAAGTCAGGAGCGAGAACCAATAAGTTTTCATGGGATGCATATCCATCAAATTATTGTGTGCAGTGCTTCGATTAGTGGTGGTGGTACTAGCATACTGCGTGTTGCTGATACGACAGGCCAATTCTCACACCGAGTCGGGGGAATGGAGCTGCGAGTCGGAATCTGAGATCCGGGTCCAGGCCGAGTTCGGACCGGGCCTTATCACTCTGGATGGTCATGCCGACGACTGGAAGGATATCGATGGGTTCGAGTTCTCCCTCCTCCCTGCTCTTGACCCAGATGCTGAAAACGAGTACAAAGGTGGAAAGATGACTGTTAAGGTACTCGTATTGTTACTGTGATTTTAAAAATCTTAAAACAATCCTAAATAATCTTGGTTGATTTTGTTTTTGTGTGTCTATGTATGATGTATTTGAGTTTTGTTTTTCTTATATTTTGATGCACAATTAGAAATGGGTTTATTGCAGGCTTTGCATGATGGCCGTGATGCCTTCTTCATGGTTCAAGTTGATGGGGACTACGCTTACTCTAAGGGGTAAGTTTTATCTAATGTATGAATATTTCATATCCTTGTGGTCAAATTTTAGGGTTAAGTACGAATAACTACCCAAACTTTTAGGGCGATTCCAAAGTAGTGTCAAATTTTTAAAACATTCCAAATAACTACTCAACATTTTAACATTTTGAAAGTTATACATATGTTAGGTCACCGATGTTAAGTCAAGAACTTACTAACATTAAGCTATGACTTTACTAGAATTCCATGTTGAGGTGGACATATACTAAGGTAGGTTTTCACCAGTTGTCATCTTTAGTGCTATAATCCCCAAATCGACCCCTTTTAGCCAAGTTAAACTGTAAATTTGCTTAGCTAAATTGCGTTTATTTGGAGATTCAAAGCACCATAGATGACTTGAGAGTTCAAACACGCTTCATATTTGACCATGTCATCGCTTAACGGTTATGGTAGTGAACCTAACGGATGTCCATTTTCAAAACTTTAGGTAGTTATTTGGAATGTTTTAAAAGGTTAGGACCAATTTGGAATCACCCCAAAAGGTTGCGTAGTTATCCAGACTTATTTTTACTAAATTGTTGGGGACTACGCTGTTGAAAAACACGCCCACTAGACCTTGTTCTCTAATGTAACCAACGTCAATAGACTAAACTAGAAACACACAAGAATTATATTGGTTCGGCAGAACTTTTGCCTACCTCCAGTTGTGATTTCTCTAGGTAGAGAAATCACCGCTCCTTTGATTAATAATAGAGATTACAAAACTTTTGCAAACCCTAGAACTAATCTCAAAACTCTCGGCTGTCTCTGGCTATTTTCTCTCTCTCAAAATTAAGCCTTGCCTCACCCTATTTATAGGCATAGGGTCAGCTTACATCTCCCAAGGCTGATTGAATTCCTATTTCTAAGTGGATTAGGAAATTACACTTATCCAAATCCAAATAGACTTCTAGAAATCCAAACCTAAATTGAATAAGGAAAACTGAACTTTCCTAATCCCTCTAGGACAAGAGTCGGTATACCTGTAATTTTCCTAAAACAAACCCAAACCGACTAGGACATATTTGACTAGCCAAAAATCCTAACGTACGCTTACTCTAAGGGGTAAGTTTTATCTACTGGATGAATATTTCATATCTTTGTGGTCAAATTTTAGGGTTAAGTACGAATACCTACCCAAACTTTTAGGGCGATTCCAAAGTAGTGTCAAAATTTTAAAACATTCCAAATAACTACTTATCATTTTAACATTTAACATTTTGAAAGTTATACATATATTAGGTCACCGATGTTAAGTCAAGAACTTACTAACATTAAGCTATGACGTTACTAGAATTCAATGTTGAGGTGGACATATACTAAAGTAGGTTCTCACCAATCGCCATCTTTAGTGCTATAATCCCCAAATCGATCCCTTTTAGCCAAGTTTAACCTTAAATTTGTTTAGCTAAATTGCGTTTATTTGGAGATTCAAAGCACCATAGATGAGTTGAGAGTTCAAACACGCTTCATATTTGACCACGTCATTGCTCAACGGTAGTGAACCTAACAGATGTCCATTTTTCAAAACTTTAGGTAGTTATTTGGAATGTTTTAAAAGGTTAGGACCAATTTGGAATCACCCCAAAAGGTTGCGTAGTTATCCAGACTTAGTTTTACTAAGTTTCAGTTTTATTTGAACTTTGGTTATAATTTTTTAATTTAATAAAACTTACTGAATCCAATTTTCATTTTAAAATTGGATGTTTAAACCTTTTTATTATTCAGTATTGGTGGCAAGAGTTGCGATTTCTTCTACTTTTTTTGTTTTGTTTTACAATTACTGTTGTTTTTACCCTCATATATTCTTTGAAGATTATGTTAGTCGTCATTGTCTGGTAAGTTTCTACTTTTGACGACGTGTTGGTTGAATTGATTATGTCTAAGTGCATGCTTTCTTGGTTTGCATTACCAGTTAATTATTTCATGCCTTTTTTTCTTAGCAAGACACTTTTTGAGATTTGTTTTTCTTTGATTTAGGGACAACAATAAATGCCCATCTGTTGCCCTCATGTTTCAAATTGGCAGAGATGCAACTTATCATAGCGTAAGTTACTCCACTGGCCTGTTGAACCAACAATGGAATATGGATATACTTCTATTTTTCTATCAACTTATACAATACTGGCCATCCCTTTCTACTCGGTCGGGAATTCAAGCCAAATGGATTTTTGTGTTGTTAGATGGGTGGCTGCAAGGAAGGAGTTGACTCTTGCACAAACAAGACCTGCAAAGGTCATGAAGTTGACATTATGCACTTCTCAATTGGAAATGCTATTCCTGGACGGCTCTATGGTGGAAACCCTATAGACAACAGCAATGGAAATGGCGGTGACAGGTGCGTTCTAGTACAACTCATTCTCTTGAATTTATTGCAATGATCCACTTGTTTGGGAAAATGGATTCTGTTTTATCATTTCTAAACTCCATTTTATTGTATTTCTATTTATCTTTGTTTCAACAGGTTTGGTCATTTGGTTGATCTTTATGCATGGAATCCGCATTGTAGATACCTAGATGGAATTGGTTCTTCAGGTATTTTTGGGAGTTATTTATCCGACTACTACTTTAATCTATTTTTCTTAATGGGCATGAGAACCTACATAATGATAGAAAAAAGGGACTAGGGAAAGTTGCTACAAGAGTTAGGAAGTCATTAAGGCGCATTAAGTTTTTGAAATGATATTTCAATGTCAAAGATGATAATCTCGCAAGTTTGGTTTATTTTAAAAAGTGATCTCATTCATTATCTTGAGTATCTCTGGCCTACCTAGCAACAGTTAACTATTATCTTCTGAACCCCTCTTCCCCCCACGTGCAGAAAGCTGCTTAAGTTTCAGTGATCAAATCATTTAATTTATCTTTTCCCATTTTCAGCAAATGATTCTAGTGCACAAAATGATTGGAAAGGTGCTTGGTGGCACAGTAGCTTGAATGTTCACTCAGGTAAATTGGTATATCATCTAAATATTATATAATGATGGATGTAACTGTATATGTTGCACTTTGAGAAGAGAAATGTATAACTTTGTGTTAATGGTCCACCGCTGGAAAGGTCCATGAATGTGACATGAGCTTGAATTACCTACTCAACCCTCCTTAAACCCAAAGATATGTTTTTTCCCCTCAATGTTACTTTTTTTTTTTTGTTTACTGTTACAGGTTTTGTGGAGGAAGATAGCCCGTATTCATCAGATGCTCAAAAGGGCACATTTTATTTTGAATTCTCAAGGCCTCTGAGAACTATGGATCGTCTCCAACAGGTTCACTTGATGCTTTTAAATTTCTAGCGACCTGGAATTTAGTTCTTTTCCCTATTAAATTTTGGTACACCTTGTAGCATGTGTTATGAAAGTTGCTCATTGTTGAACAAAGAGGATTATGGACAAACACTACTTAGCATTCTTGCTAGTGGAAAATTCGTTTATATCCCTAGGACAAGATTGTTGCAATCATGTAATGATCCTTTCCTTTGCTTTGTTTTTTTGTTCTCCTTTGTTATTTTACTTACAAACTTTATTTGGCAATTTAAGCTATAACTATCTCTTAGAATATTTACATGCTGTCAAAACATACTGTACAAAAGGTCTTTTTCGATTGATTACTGACAATACTGTTGATCCTCCTTTAAAACTTCAATTTGAAATTTGTTTGCACATCCATCTTATGTAACTTGAGACTAGAATATTACATAGTTGAAATAATGTTATTATTGGTCTATATCTATATACATATTTATATTTATAGATTCCATAGGCAATTTCAAAGTGTAATAGGTCTCTGTTAAACAAGTTTTTTTTGTGTTCGCTCTTGCAGGACGTTCAATTCACAATTGGAGGATCAAGTAAGATGTCAGTTGCATTCTGGTATCCAGTTGATAAAAAACCGTGGCGTGGCTCTGGACACTATTCTATTAGCTGTGACTGGGTTCCCTTAGATATCTCTTCAAGAAGTTCTCTGCTGACCACAGCAAGGCCAAGTAGCTCGGTTAATGCTGCCAGTGTTTTTGCCCTTCTCTTATCAGTAATCTCGTTGTGTGCTTCTGTCTTTATTGGGTATTGGGTCGTGAAACCCAAAACTTTTCAGTTCACTCCCATGGAAAATCTTTAAATAGCATTCTAGGTGTGGGATTCTTCTCAACTACATGTCATTCTGGATTATTTTTTAATTCAAAACTGAACGACGTTCTAGGATTCATACAGCCTATCCTACTTAGTAAGGTTATGTTTAGTCATTTGTCAGCTTACTTCAACATTGCTACTGGATTTTCTTCTTTGGTCAATTCCTTGCTATTGGAACTGTGTCTCCTTTACTCATTGTGTGGTTCATTGTTAATAATATATGTTCCATTTTTTTTTTTTGGGTGTGGTATACACACATCCTTTTTTACTTCTTACACATCCTTTTAATTTTCGGTCATCGGATCGAATGAATTGAAGAAGATTAAGGGACAGAAATCAACAAGAGGTGTGTGAGAAGTAAAAAATGTTTTTTTTTTGGGAGAACACAGAAATTCGGATATCACCTATTTGTGCCTCAATATTTTGAGTGAGTGTGGGAACCAAATGTACCGGCTCTTGGAGGGGCGACACGCGGACTAAAACAGCCCAGTTTAACGAAACTGTCCTTCTAGTGATGAACGAGACACCACTTCAAGAATCTCTCTGGGCAGAGGAGACACCTTTGTTGGGCTCGTGCATTTGTTACGACTCGCGTGTTGGAAGGAGTAACCCAATACCATGGCCTCACTCAGCAAAGTTGACGGGCCCTAACAGAGATGCTTAGGCCATTTCTAACTCGAAGGTGCTATGTTTAGCCTTGTTTAGTGTAATAGTTTTTTAAGAAATTATTTTTAAATAAACAGTATTAGATCATATTTATATACTATTTACAACTGAATGAGTTATTTTTTAGCCCTCCCAAGAATTTATTATTTTTAAGTTTGTTCTTAAACTTTATTTGTTAATTGAATTAAACTACTATATTAAGTTTGTTTTTAATAATTTTTCGGATATGATTTTCAAGTGACCCGTGTCGAGATGTAATTGGTTTAGACATTAATTCAAAGATCACCATTTAATTGAAATACAACTTAAATATTTTTGGGTAAATTACATTTTCATACCTCAAGTTTGGGGTCTATTTCAATTCCTTACACCTTCTTCAAAACATTTCACTTTCATACCTTAAATACTATTTTATTTCAAAATAATATCTCCGTTACATTTTCCATCTATTGATCCGTTAAATGCTGACGTGATTGCCAAATGTCTGCCACGTGACAAAAAAATTAATTTTTTAATTTTTAAAACATGAATTTAAAAAAAAAAAAAAACTTGAAAAAGCAGAAACCCACCCCATCCCCGCAACCCCCCTTTTCTCCTCCACTCTCTTCACCTCCCCTCCCATCCAAAAACCCATCCCATCCCACCCAAAACCTGAATTTTCTCACCTAAAAAAAAAAAAATTGAAACACACAGCGACCTACAGTCTACAAGAAAAGAAGGAGAAGAGGGAGGAAGAAAGAAAAAAAAAATTGAAACTATCCCTCCCACCTCCCAACTGACCCATATCTGCAAGAAGAGAGAGGGAAGGAGGGAGGGGAAAAAAATTGAAACTATCCCTCCCGTTCCTAGATCCCATATCTCCACCCCTCTTGCCCCCCACGCGAAGATGATTTATGGGATTTTTTTCCCTCCTTCTCCTTCTTCCTGGACCCCTTCCCTACCATGTCCCTCCTTCTCTTCCTGCTGGACCCCTTCCCCACCGCGTCCCTCATTCTCCTCCTTCTTGGACCCTTTCCCCACCGCGCGACCCACGCCCCCCCCCCCCCCGGTGCGAAGATGATTTCTGGGATTTTTTTCCTCCTTCTCCTTCTTGTTGTTGCAGGTTTAGGGATGTTGGGATGCTTGGGAGGGAGAAGAGGTGGGTTTCCGCTTTTTGAAGTTCTTTTTTTTTTTTTAAATAATTTTTTTGCCATGTGGCATATATGTGGCAGCCACGTCAGCACTTAACGGATCAATGGATGAAAATGTAACGAGGTATTATTTTGAAATAAAATAGTACTTAAGGTATGAAAGTGAAATGTTTTGAAGATGTTGTAAGGAATTGAAATAGACCCCAAACCTGAGGTATGAAAATGTAATTTACCCAATATTTTTTTAGTACAAAATACAACTTAATTGAAATACATCTTAAATATTAAAACTACAACAACTTAAATATTAAAGACTACAATAACTAATAATAACGATCTTCATTTGTCATTGTAGGAGTATAGTCGGATGTTGAAAATAACTCCCGTCGGGTCATAATTTCCCTTTTTTCCTTTCAAAATATGCCTTACCCATTGAAGTATAATTTGTAGTGTTCATTTCCATGTTCCTATTATTGTCTTCTTGTATTTGTTTTGCCTGTTCTTCGTGTCTATGCTTCCTTTCTTCTGCAACAATGACATTTTGCTCCGCTATTAATTGCAATGAGGTCATTTCCTCTTGAAAGGCTAACTCGTCATTTTCCTTCAATTTTCTAGCCTTATTTCGTCCCACATCCCTAGGTATGGAAGATTGACCTGAAGACATATTTTCTTCAATGACATGAGATACTTTTGCATCTCCAACTATATTAGCGGAAAAATTTCCAATCACCAGTGTAAGACCAAATTTTACTTGCGGTGAATCTTGAAATAACACCCACTCTTTACAAATTTCCCAACAACCTTAATGAGTAAAGGGTTTTTTCATGTCATCCATATACAATTGCTCCGCTTAGTTTTCCTCGAAAATAAAATTACAAAATTAAAGGAAATTAAATGTAATATAATTAAATATTTAAAAGAACTTGTGAAAACACTTACTTATGACACACCCCGATCGAGATCAGGGCATGCTGGCCGTCACGTGGAAGTGACGTAACCATGTACGCAGTGCGGAAGCTAATAAAATAATAATAAAAGTACAAATGAATAAAATCCAGCTTTACACAAAATAAGAGCATACATGTGCAAGCGTAAGTGTGAAAAACAAAGTTCAGAGCACGAAGACCTAATGCAGTCCAGGAGAAACAACACTACATAACACACCCAAAGGTGGTCCTACACTGGTGATAATCTGTCAGATATGCCGGGAAAAATCCTTTGGGGAGCCACCAAAAGTGCTAGCCAACTAGAACCTGGAGGGGCGCAAAACAAAAAGGGTGAGTGGGCAAAAACAAAGCTTTTCAAAAACCATTTCAGAAACAAGATTCTAACCCCTCGCCGTAAAACCTATATACTTCCCAGAAAAATAGAATATAGAGATATATATATATATATATATATATATATATAAAAGCCATGCTCAGAAGTATGCCATGCCAAAAGCCTCGAAATAAAATGCAAGTGCTCAGGTAATGTCAAAACAATGCCATGTAATCTGTCAGCCAGAGTCACCTAACGTGACCTGTATGGTTGAATCTAGAGCTCAAATCTCCATCTCACTAACTATACCTGCACACGAGTCGGAACCACCTAAAGTGGTATGTACGACAGGACTGGGTGTAATATAAGTACGCTCAAGTGCTACGATCACGTGAAGGCTGGGCGAATAATCGCGGGTCACCTACGAGTCGGAACCATCTAAAGTGGTTTGTACGACAGCATTGTGCACCTAACTTGGATCCAAGATGAGCGTATGGTGCGGGAGGTGAACATCACGTGAAGGACTTTGCCCAACTCTGGGCGGGAGCACTAACACCGGGGTGCAGGTTATGAGCTCTCTATGCATCTCAAATCACTACTAAACATAAATATAAATCATAACTCACCTGACACTTACCTGTGCGTCCGCAGCACCAAACATATATACATATGCGACTAAAAATGCGTAAATAAATGGCAAGCAATAAACATGGCATATAAACGTATAAACGTTTCATTTCACTTTCTGGGAAAAGTATAAGTATATAGGTATATACGGAAAACCAAAAGCCCACTCACCGGTATGTAGAAGGGTCGTAACCCCCTTGCCTCGAGTGATAGCGCTCGTCCTTGGGATAGGTCTCACCTATATGCGAAACAACTATAAAAACGTTAATTTTAAAGCACATAACCAACATCACGAAATAACTTCTCATACATTGCTTAAATGGGGGTGTATGAATACACCAACGTGATCTACTCAACCTCAGGAGCATCCCTATATTTTTAAAAAACATTTTCGACGCCGCACGCGCCCCACGCGCCGGCCAAGGCACGGCCACACGCGCCGGCCACGCGCAAGCACGTGCCTGGCACACTGACGGCGTCAGTTAACGCCGTCAGGAATATTCCGTTAACTCTGACGGATTCCGTTAACGCCATTAGGAATATTCTGTCCAAACTGACAGAATATTCCGTCATCTTCTCCGGCGAAGCTCCGGCGCCGTCGTTGGCGCCGGAAAATCGGGAAAACTTTAAAACCTTGTATCTTCTTCGTTTTCAACCAAATTTCACAAAATTGGTACCAAAATGAAGCTTACAACAAGAGGAACAAATCCATACCACTTTCAAGCACTAAAACCCATGGAATCTTGACGGGAAAACACCACCAACCCCGGCTAAGCTTGTAACTCACGATCCCGACGTCCACAACCTTCAAACGAACCACCCCGAGCCTCCTAAGGACCTCACCAAGCTTCCTACAAGCTTGAAATTCCCAAAAACACAAGAATTAACGTGTGCATGAACAGTGACCAAATCGGGGTATCCCGAGTTCGACGTGAAAACGAAGGTATCCTTACCTGAAATGGGTATGGTTGAACTCCCAAGGACCTCACGAGCACGAATACGTAATTTTTTTCCTCGATCTGTGAAGGTTTGGATGGTTTTGGTTGTCGTCTGTACAAAGAGAATAGGAATGGGAGAGAGAGAGCTCGGGACAGGGATACAGGACAAGGAAAAGGGTGAGGGGGTGTGGGAAAGTGTGTGTGGTCCAAAACCAGCCAAACAACACCCAAAAACAACCACACAACGAAACAATCATAATAGGGGCAAAATCGTATTTCACCCCTACGGTTTGAAAATCCGGAACGGGTTGTCACACTTATGTTACAACCTGTATCTTAAAATATTATATTTTATTCCCAAGGCGCGTGAAATGATTATTTTGCCCCTGAGTGGGTGTCTAAATTAATTTATCGAGCGTTGACTTGAGAATTATATCTTCGTACTTTCTTAGTTTCATAATATTTATTTTCGTACGTAAGTTTACGTAAAAATCAAATTATGAATCAAGGCCTTGAGGGTCTTTTTGTAATAAAAAACAATCGGAAGGGAAACTTTGTAATTTCACTTAACATA